ATCAAAAAAAGTTACGCTTCTTGGAACAAATGAATACATTTCTAATAGAAATTTCTATTTTTTTTTTATTTTTGAGCCTTTTTTAAAACGCCTGCAATGGGCCTTATTATACAACCAAGAGGGTAATAGGGCCCTTGCTTAAAATTCGATTCTTTTAAAAAGGCCCACAAAATATAACGCTTACACGTGTATTTATAAATTCAAAAACATTTTTAAAACAAAATAAACTAAAAAAAGGCACAAATATTAAGCTTATAAAAGAAACTAAGGCATTCTAAAAGGCATTTTGCGCAAGTTACACATTGTCTCATGTCAAGTTTGTCTTCAGTTCCGCAAAGCAAACTACCACGAATCACTGTCCAATGCTTTTTTTGAGGAAATTGAAGCCGAAAATGTTGACGCTGAAGGTCTAGGTCTAGATTAGCAAAACTCATTACCATTTGAGATTCGATGACATCGGAATTGGGTTAGCCATACGTTAAAAAGAGACAGGCAACAAAATGTTACAAAACAGAACGTTACTAATTATCCATATCAAAATATAAGGGACCGTAATTTTACCAAAAAAATTTACAAACTAGCTTGAACAAACTTATTATATACGTGTTTTCAGTTGAAGCAGATTTCCAATTAGGTTCTTTATAATTCAATACTTAAGTATTAAAATATATGAAAAAATAACGTAATTATGACGAATTCTAAGTGACGTCTATTCTATGTCATCAATGCGACGTCAAATACATGTTACGGTCATGGGCGTCGTTTGGGGGGGGCAAGGGGGGGCAGTTGCCCCCCCTGGCTTTTACGACTTTACAGCGCGTAATGGCTGTATGACACATTACTAAATTAGGTACTAAAATTTAGCCCTAAAGTAAGTTGTTAATTTAGAACTAAAAATATTTTTTTTCCTTTTGTAACGATACCAATTTTTAGTACTAAATTAAGTATAGGCGCACGCGCATTGACATAATATTACGTGAAATTAGCACACAAATGAAACATTCTGTGTAACTGAGAAAAGTGAATTAAAAGATGTTTTTACTATGACTTTGACACTTGTTGACTTGACAACAACCAAATGCAGCAATGCTACTAAAAACCACGAAAAAAAATAAAATTTACAAAATCAAACACAAGCGAAATTTGTCCAAGGTTATAATGCAAAGTTGTCGCTAACCAAAATCAAAATGGTGCAGAAAAGACCGTTGTGTCAACTTTTTCTGAGAAAAACTTCTGCGCAACATTTCAACGCATTTTTAATACTAAATTTGGTAGAAAATAGAGGAAGTTCCAATTAATTAATTAATTTTTTTAGTACTAAATTTAATACTAAATTTGCTGTTTGCAATGTAAATTTTTTTAGTATTTAAAAAATGTATTAATTTAGTTCTAAATTTAGTACTTAATTTAGTATCGTAACATACAGCCTTAGTATATAAATTACTAATATTTCGTTAGGTAGGTACTACGTGCCACAGTTTGACAACGTTTTTTTTTTAAATTTATGGCCTTGGCATTGCCAATTGGCCAAACTAATTTTTGACAACACCTGTATACAGTAAAATTACGTAACTAACACAATTACACAACTGGCACTGGCTCATATTGTTTAAGGGAATAGAAGAAATAGGTAAACATGATAGGTGTAGAAATCTAAATGCCACGAATTACGGACAGCAATCCTATAAAAATAATATTCAGGCTAATACAGTTGACGAATATTATAGGTTGAATATATTTATTCCATATCTTACACGTACCTATACATTTTACTTTTTTTTAAAAGTAGGTAATGTTAAAATACCCGTTTCTATTATAGTTGGCAACCCTGCTGAAATTACTTTTGTTTTATAAAGATGTCAATGTAAATTAACCAACGAATGTGCGCACCTGAGTTGCTATTTTAATTCTAGTATTGTTTGTTCAAATAGTTATTCGTTAATAAAAACCAAACTATTTCAACATTATTTTCTCTAACAGATAAAAACAAAACAAAAAGCAGTAGCAGTTGTGTTGTACATTGTAAAAATACTAGCAGAAAAAACAGTGTAAATTATATAAATTTTCAGTAGCAAAATGGAAATTAAATCAAAGAAATAAATGGATAGCTGTACAATAAAAAGAAGAAAACTTTTATTTTTGTAATAATAACAGTAATACTGGAAACAGTAGACATCAAAAAATTTTAAATGTTCAGCAAAGATTAGATTTCTGCTTTTGATTATTGTATGTGGCTGAAATGCAATCTTGTGACTTATTGATAGGAAACCAATTTTATTGATTAATTTCTATGGGTTCTTTCGAATTAAAAATGAAAAAAATATAAATTAAAATCGCAAATTTACCAATTATTTTTGTTAATACGTTTTGATATTACGTTATTATATAATGGTAATGTTTTTATTTTTACATTATTCAACCTATTCTTCAATGACAACTTATTAGGCTTAGGCAACATATCATACATTTATTTTTAGCTGAAGTAATAAAAATATTTAATAATAATAATAATAATAATAATAATAATTTTGTCACTTGTTTTACAAATCCATATACTTTTACTAAAATAAACATATATATTTTTTAATTAGGGATTTCATTAAAAATTGTATTGTCAGTATACGCAAATATCGTCCTTTAGTTCATGAATTAGTTGGCGCTACTGTCACGCACAGAGCAAATAAATAATAAAAATAGGCTGACTGCGCTTTACATGATGAGCGTACATCGAAAAATAATCGCAAAAAATTAAAAAGAATTCATGTTTTCTGTTATCAATTACTTTAGGTAGAGGAAGAAGAAATTAAAAATGTACGTTTTGCTAGTATTGTCAACGTCTTTGAGTGAGTTTTTTTGTTTTTGTGTTTCTATAAATATTTTATTTTTAAATATTATGTATGGCTCTGTCTTCTTGTTAATATTTTTCTTTTATTTCACACATTCTGTTTATTTTTTAAAAATTTGTGTTTTAAGTTTCTTGTTTTTTCTATTTTAGTTTTTGTCTTTTTTGTTGGGTAATTTTATTTATTAGAAACTGTTGTTAATTTGTATTCTTTTTTTATTTTTCATTTTCTTTGTTTTTCAACAAATAAACATTCTACTTTTTTTTTAAAAAATTGCCCCCCCCCCCCTATAGAATTGTGTAACGACGCCCATGGTTATGGTTAGGATATTTTATTTCGGACACTGATCTTAAAATAATACAGATCAGTGATTTTGGATAAATAAATACTAAAAAATTACGTCATAATGACGAGTCTGCATTGACGTTAATTAACGCTCCGAGCAAGTAATTGCTCGGAGAATTAACGTTGCAAAAACAACGTCAAAGTAAAGCCATTAATTGGGATAATGACGTTTCTGTCGAGTAAATCCTAAAAAATCACGTCATAATGACTGCACCTTGCGTGGAGATTTTCTTGAGTTGAGAGAATATCCTAAAAAAAGTTTAAGAAGCCTAGACTCGAATCCAGTTACTTGTATAATCCTCAAACATTATAAAATGTAATTGAATTGTGGCACCAAGTTTCGATTTTTACCTCGGTAATTAACTTGATAAACGAGTTATTAAGTAATTAAAACTGAGATTGCTCAAATTGATTTTAGCTGCAATTCTAAATTCTACAAATGATTCAAATGTAGTAGTGGGTAATTAACACGGTATTTTTTAATGACAATTTCAACCAGTACAATCACTCAGCAGGTGTGTTGGTTCTCAAGAAATAATTTAATAATAACGTGAGTTATTTTTAATGTTTTAATAATTGACTTGGGAGAATACTATTTTTTATTAAAATGGTATAAATAATTCCTTTGAACCTAAAAAGTGTTCCGAGTTAATAAACACGCAATGGCGAATATCAGAAATAAGCTTTGATTAAAAATCTAGAATATACGAATGTGGAATCTGGACAAAACAAATCTTGTCGAATTCCATCGGATCTCTTCTTGTACAAGATTTATCATGCCCCAAAATGCCAAACAAAGCACAGTGCAAAATTTAAATTCACGTAACCCGTAAATCCAGAGAGAAGGACATTGTACTGAGCGAGCAAAATTCTGATATTAAAATTAATTGTAACTTAGAAGAGAATAAAAAATTCTACTAAATTATCTGAGAATATATATTTTATATTTCTTAAATACCTAAATTTTTTATCTCTGGGTGGTAATTTTGCACTCACTTTCACTTTCTGTGAACAAAAAATAAAATAAATAATTTCTGCAAACCACAGATTTTATTGAAGGAAATAGATTTGTTTTGTTTATGGTTTTCCTTTCTTAATCCGAATCGCTTTTTCAATATTAAACTACTGCAATAGTGGCGGAAGTCGTTTCATAACGTAACTTAATAGTGCATTAAAAGAATAAGATAATGAATAAACTGGAAAGAAAATCCTGATACATTTCTTGGATTTTAATGGAACATTATCGTCGTAATAAATTACTTACTATTGGATGGATGGAAGAATGGATATTTTAAGCAGGAATAAAATTTCATCTAGCGCACAGCGATTTATGTTCTGTATATTATTATCAACATAAATTAAATTACTGCTATTACGGCATCCATCATATCCTACAACAAAGCATGCTTATTAAATAAAAATTCACATGGTTTGACAATTCAAAATAAAATCTGTCATAATCTAATCTTATTTATTAAAGCAACTCACTTACTTAGCAACCTTTATACGCACGGCGTGCGATAAAGACCAGATTATGCACGCCTTTGGGTTTGTTTGGGATAGTTTATGATATATGAATGCTTAAAGTAATTTTTTACTTCGTGCTTTTCCTTGTAGGAGCATTTTACTATATTAATAATAAATTCGTTAAACCCTCAATGAATTATATAATAAGCATCGCAAAATTTTGCTCGCCGTATAAACGATGAGTAAAATATACGAGAAAATCGAATATCCCGAAAACCGCGAACCTGTACATCCTCGGGATAAAACCCTAATGCATTTATTTCCATCATCTCGCTTTTGTTTCAGACCTCCCCGAGGGCAGCATCGGGCAGCTCGAAGTGGTAGGATCCCGAGCCGCCTTCCTGGAGGCCGAAAGTTTGGCCGGTTGCCAAGTACAAGCACTTGTTTTGACCAACAATCGCCTTGAACATGTTGCGGACCGGGCTTTCAGGTGAGAATTATTATTTATAACCTTAATTAACTTCTTTAAGGCTTTTTTTTTATCTATTAATAATTATTATAAATATTGCGTTTTATTAGTAATCAGCATTGGGATTCTCATCTTTCAATACGGCACGTGTTGAGACGACTATCTTCGTTCCACAGAATGCGATTCGTTTGAAATGTCTCTCTTTATTCAATTCGTTACGTGTTGAGTACGCACATAAGAATCCCTGTCCAGATTACGGCAGTGGTTCAGACAGAAAAATAATTCTCTATAAACAAAATTGTCAAAGTGTCAAACTGTCAACAATTATTTAAATCTGACAGCAATGAAAAATTTATTTTTTATGCGAAATTTTAATTAAAATAACATATCGCTTTCGGCATTAATGTAAATATCTATATCGATATATGAAAAATGACTATAAGGATTCAAATCCTTTGTAGAGAAAAGGTTTTAAAACAAAAAAAATACAATTAAAAAAAATTATACATAAAAAAAAGAAACTTAAATAAGCAATACTGGGACAGCAGCCCTCCACATTCCGGATGGGGACCCGGGCAAGATGGATAGGGGAGATCGGTGACGGTTGTAACAAAAATTACATTATAATTTTTTTGCTATTATAGTAAGCCTTAGCGGAATCATTTTTTTTTTTAAATAAATGTTGTATAATAATATGAGTTGCCAGGTATTTTTAAAGTTTAAAAAATGAGGCTTTTTAGCTAAAACTTTAAAGACAAATGTTACAATTGACATCCAAGAGATGTCAGTTGTAACAGGGATAGGTGTCGATTGTAACAAGCATCTTATATCAGAAGATAATTCAAATAAAACAATTGGACCTTTTGATACCGTTTATTGGAAGCCAAAAATAGTTACATAATGTATTTATTTTATTTTTTTAAGATTAATTTAAATCAAATGAATGATTTTTAATAACATTTTTAAACGAACAAACAAAACGCATTCTTTAAGAAGAATTAATAAAAAATTATTTCATTGTTAATGTAACAATACCCTTTCCAAAAGTTTTTAAATAGCAACAAAATTATCAAAAATCTAACACAAAAGTTAACATACAGGGGCAAATTATTTTAAAATTAGTCAGAATCCTCAGAATTCGCAAAGTCACAATTCTGACAATTAAAAATAGAGTTATTCTTTGCACATTTAGAATGTGCCCATTCTCTACACTGTAACCAGTCTTCACAGCTTGTCTTGTTTGAACCCGAACAAACTAAGCACAATGTGTCTTCCTCTTCGGATGATGAGAATTCACTATATATAGGTTTCTGCTTCTTCGCACGTTTGCTTTTAGATGGTGCTTTCTTAATGACTCTATTCATGATAGATTGTCTTTTTATTAGCAAGATGTTGTTCTATTAGCATATTCTCGGGAGTGTCAGTAAGTACAGTTGTCTTTTCCTTTTCCCTTCCAATATTTTTTGGTTTACTAAAGTCTGCTTTTGGTAAAGGCCTTATTTGCTCAGGAGTAAAACTTTCTTACTAGGTGGTAAAAACATGTTCTTCTTTAGACTTTGGAGAATAAGGTGGAGTTGACTGGTCCATAATTTTTGATGATAAAGTCGTTTATGATGGAGGACATGTTGGTTTCGAAGTAGATGGTATCTGGTCCATAATTTTCAATGATGAAGGCGTTGAAGCGGGAAAGCATATAAGTCCCGAACTAGATGTAAATGGGGAAGGTGGACAAGTTACCTGGACAGCGGAGCTTATTGATGAACACTGATTTTCCGTTGGTTCTTTTGAAGGACAATCAGTGGGATCGTTAGTTTATTATCTTCTTCAAGAGGCCTATCGGTTACAGTGCAAAATCATCGTCGGTAAATATTTGTCTATTGAACGGCCAAATTCCCGTGCATCTAAAGCCAGACATTATGTCCCGAGGGGTTATGGCTTCAGGTAGAGCATTTCGAATTATACCTGGAATGTTATAAATAGTTATTCGTTTCCCGGGGTTGTTTCTCATCCAGTTGTTATTGTAAGCCCTTTTAAATGGTCCAAATACGGTACGATCAAGCGGTTGCAGCTTATAGGACGTGTGGGGAGAAAAGGAGACCAGTGTTATGAAATTATCTCGGCAAAAATTTATCACTGGAAGGGATAGGTGGAAAGAATGTTTATCAAAAATAAGCAAAACTATTCTCCGAGGGCTTAGCAAAATTTGCGAAATGCTTAAGAAATACCAAAAATTCTTCCTTCTTCATCCAGCCGCTTTTGTTAGCTGTTCCGTAGCATCTAGGTGGCCCATCCCTGATAAAATCATCGTATTATCAAATTCCATATTGCTTTAAAGCAGTTCTTACAGAAATATGGTCATTTAATACTTCGTTTTTTTCACTCTTGGTTTCATATTGCCTAGAATAAAAAAAATTGCGAGTATTTACGTATGGTTACCCATGGTTATGTTACAACTGCCACCATCAGACACAGCAATTAAATGTTTATCAACAAACTACCTAACCTTAAAATTTAGATGTTCTAAATCGTTGATTTCATACATAATTACATGCTGATTTGAATGGTCTAAGTAAACTACACATAAAATACATGCTTAGGAAGATATCCACAAAATAATCTGAAAATGAAAAAACTTACTTTATGTTGGAAAAACAATATTTTCTTTAATTTCATGTCCTCTTGTTCGAGTTTCACAAACTATTGACCATTAATTAATTACCCCCACTATTCAAATAATCTTATTTACATAGAAACAATCAATAATGGTGTTTATTTTAATAAGAAAATATTTATTCTTCCATTTAATTAAGCATTTAGAAAAAAAATTGGGAATAAAAACCTTTTTTGATGAAATTTCGCGCCCAAATTAAACCTATAGAATAACTAGACATTGCTACAATGGTGCCAAATATTCTACTTCGTAGGCGAATATTTTGAAATCATTTTTGTTTTCTTCTCGTAATGCGTAGATTACTTTATAGGTTTCTATTTTTGTTGCAGTTTGTCTTGTCTATGAAGACTTAGTCTTATTTGACTTTTATGGACGTTTTTAAATTAGGTGAATCTGCTTTTACAAATCCAGGAGTCATGTTCAAAGATTCAAAAATAAAAATATTATGTAAATTAATTTTAGTATTAAACTGTCATATACATGAAGTTTCTGACACGTGATTTTTTAGGGAATATATTGATGTTGCAAATATTTTAAATGCGCAGGGTAACTCCTAAATGCAATCAAGTGGTTCAGGTTTGTAACCAATTTTACTGCAGGTAAATACATATTAATCGTATCTAATTACTAGTGGTCGGAATTTGGGGGGACATTACAGGGCCGTACTCAGGTCCATCAGCTAATAACTATTTATTGCGTCAGTAAATTTTATTTGTAACATTAACAAGCGATTCATTGCCTTTAAAACTGATCTAAGGTAACAACTAGGGTTTTAAAATAACTTGTGCATACATTTTGTATTATAAATAATTTTTTTGTATTTTATTTGTTGAACCAAAAAGTTATATATTGAACAATTTGTAGTTTTATTAAAAACTAATTAATGCATACAGAATGAAATCGTATAAAAAGTAATTTAAAATGCAAATAAGGAGCAAAGAAAGTTAATAACGTATTTTTTTGTGGCAGTGCATTGGTGTAGAAACAAAACAAAATTGACCTTGTTAACGAGAAGTTTTAAATTTAAATCTGGTCTAAAGCTTGATTTTGTGTACGGCGTTCGGTAAACGTTTTGCGGGACGCTCTTCATGCTCTTTTCTGATTGGTGAAAATTCAATGCCAGACAACAAAAGTTGACAGTTTTAAACTTTTTGCGTCATGAGTGCCGTAAAACGTTTATCGGACCCCGTACACATTAAAATCAAGCTTAAGTCTTAAAACGTTGTAGTGAATCTACTTGTAACTATTCCGAATATGTAAGAATATACTTCAGTTAGTTACCAATAATATTTATTTTAAAATTATAATGCTTACATTGAATTCTTGTTAAAATATATCATAAGTAGTTTTTATATCACTTGTAGCTCCCCCTGACTACTTATAATTATAAAACAAAACTGATCTACTAACCTCCTATGAGGGGATACCTACGTAAAGCCAAGAACCGTATCAAAATCGGCCCAACTGTTTCAGAGAAACACATGCTGCAAAGCGCCCTGGTGACCTATAACCGTAAACCATGCCTAAGAGCCTGCACAGAAGTGATACTAGTGATACCTATGCAATGAAAAAACCTAATCAAAATCGGACCAGGGAGTTTTTGAAGAAAATGGTTACATACATACACACAAAAAAACAAACAATTTCCGTCGTGAAAATATGAAGTTATGACCAGTTTTGTTGTATAAGTGTATATTTGGATTAAAAATTTCTAAATATGTGTATATTTATTATCGTATACATGGCACTGAGTTCGGCCCTGAAATGTCCCCCAAAAATCCGACCTCTACTAATTACTGATACATTTAAAATATATTTTTTTATTATTATCTTTTAATTTATAAAAACTCATTCCCTATCGAAATAAACAATAGTGGCTTGGAATTTTCATTATAGATAGCTTATTATTTATTTAAAATACATATATCGACAACAACAAAAAATGTATTAATAAATATTTTCAGTTAATTTTAATTGACGTTTCCATTTTGATTTTGTTGCAATTGTCCACAAATGCCCACAATTGTTAAAATAAAGAACAGACACTCATTTAATTTTCCATTTCACTATTCCTACAATACATACATAGATGGTATTAATAGAAAAATCAAAGTATACATTTGGCAACAAAATAAAAATTCTCTGGATTTATTGGTCCACGTCACTGGTCATAAGGGACATACAATTTTCAACCTTTAACAATTATTTCTTTGGCGTCCAGTGATATCTGAATAGCAACATTTTGCTAAAGTACTTTATAAGTGGTAAAGTTTAAAATGGGGTAATAAAAATTTGTAGAAAAATGTAACTATAAAAAGTAATGATGCTGCGAGACGAGAGATTCTCGTCT